CTCCTCCCTCCTCTCTCCTCCCTCCTCCCTCCTCTCTCCTCTCTCCTCCCTCCTCCTTCCTCTCTCCTCCCTCCTCCCAGCTCACTTTAAAGTGCTCTCAGAGATGTTGATCGGAGTATTTTTTATTAACTTCAGACAGAGCCAGGCTAGCTGTTTCCCACTACTCCCAGTCTTTATGCTAAGCTAGGCTAATCACATCCTGACGCCAGCGTTCAGTCTTCTCTTCTCAGCCTCATAAAGACGCTGAATCGTCTTATTTCCTAAAAGGTTGAATCACCTGCAGCTTCATGAGAGAAAACACAGACGTTGCATTTGAACGTTAAAAAAAGATCTTTTCAAACAGGAGAGTTGTGTTTTCATGTTCGGGAGGGTTTACGTGTTAAATAAATGCATCAGAGCTGACGTACAGATCACATGATCTCTGTTGAAGTTGCTCGTTTCACATTCAGTTACTGTAATCTAACAGAAACAGAAGAGTTGTGTCAGTTGGTGACCTGATGCTCTGCTGCACACACACTTCCTGTTTACTCTGCAGAGACGCTGTCACTCAACGACGAGACAAAGACGTCTGTCGGAATGTGTCCTCGTTGGTGATGGTTACGTTTGATTGGCTGCTGCATCGATCTCTTTGAGCTGTGAGAGTAGAAACAGTTAAACAAGTGTCTGGATGCCAACACACACACACACACACACATTCTCATGTGTGTGTTAAAGTGAGTGCAACAGCAGAGCAGGAAACAAGGTAACAACCATCTGTCTTCATTCAGAGCTGCAGCACAAAGAGTTTCATTGAAGACGTGTGTAGCACATCTACTGACGCATGTGGATCCATCAGGTGACTAACGGGGTTCTTCAGCGCGTTAGACGATACGTATGACGATTGTCACTTCTTGTTTTCTTGTCTCTTACTCTGGATAGAAAGAGGATGACTTTCCTCTCACAGTGTGTTTCATACTTCTCGTGTCTTTAAGGACAACAGGTGGATGTATTTTGTGATTTTTATCGTCTTAAAAAACTACGTTCCCAGATGTATTTTGTTGTGGATTTCATTTGCTTTTGACGTATCGGAAATAAGTTTCAAATGAGTCCCTGGGAGTCCGTGTAGGGGGGTAAAAAGCACAGGACTTTCACCCAGGAGACCTCTGTTTGTGTCTCGTTTTTAGATCCACCAGAGGGGCGTTCACTGACCTGCTTTATATCAGAGAACTAAACGTTAGAATCTCTTCAGATCGTGTTAAACACAGACACACACATCTCACCAGGAACATATTCAGAACACATGCTGAAGAAGGAACAGGAAGTAGAAACATGCTGACTCATGTCTGGGTTTAATGACTCCTTCCTGCAGAACTCCGCAGTCATTTTGTTGGTAATACTGACGTGTAAACACTTTATAATGAAAGGAGACGGAAAGAGAAGAGTTCGCTGAATGTGTTTGTTTAATGAGTTAAATATTCTGTGATAAATATTTCACAATTTTCAGGATATTCTGCAGTCTGTGAGAGCTGGTTGCTCCGGTGATGCATCGTTTTACGGCTTTGTCTTCCATCTGTATTGTTCTGTAGAAAACATTTTTGGTGAGAAATGTGCATTTTATTTCACACAATCGTTCAGTGAGTGTAAACAATCTTTAGTTTGTTAGTTATTAACAAAGATTATCAGAAAATTCATAAAAAACATGAAGGTGTCCTTGAAACTCAAACATATGACGGGTTGATGTTGAAGACATTATAATTATTTATAATCGTTTGTCAGTTGAGTTTTGAGAATCCTTTCTCTTGTGGGACGTTTAATCCGGTTTACTGTTATTGAATCAGATCTGAATAATGCAGCTGATGCTTCTGACATGTTTGAGTAGACTTTAAGCGTCTCTTCCTGTCTGTCTCTCTCCAGCCGCCAAGCGTCCGTCCTCGGTCTCGTCCCTGAGTGGGATTGTGGGTAGGATGATGTCGTCCGGCGAGCGAGGAGCCTCGTCCTCCTGCACCTCCGTCAACACCGTCTGCTCGGACGGCGAGCGTCCCGCCTCCCTCTCTCTCTCCTCCTCCGCCTCCTCCTCGGTCTCCCTGCAGGACACCTCCCACTCCTCCTCTTCCTCTTCCTCTTCTTCCTCTCTGCCATACGGCGCCGTGCCGACCTACAACGCCTCCTCCTCCTCCTCCACACCGAAGAGGAACGGCTCGGACATCAGCCTGAACCTCACTCCGCTGGTCACGCCACACGGAGGAGGAGGAGCTCCTGGAGGAGGAGGAGCCTGTGTGGCGGTCACAGGTGGAGGTCACCCTCCTGATGGAGCCAATCAGGCGGCGGCGGCGGCGGAGGCCGTATCGACGCCCAGACAGCTGTCACGGCTGGAACGAGTGGTTCTGGAGATCGTAGAGACGGAACAAGCCTACGTCAGAGACCTGAAGAGCATCGTGGAGGTAACAACCATTATTACACATTATATAATATTATATATATATATATATATATATATATATATATATATATAAATATATATATATATATATATATATATATATACATACATATATATTCCTAGTCAGCAATCGGATTTAAAAAGGTGACGTCATCAAAATGTCCAAATACCAAAGATATTCAGAAACCAACTTCCTTGTTTTTATGATGTCGAAGAAATGTTTAGTACAAATATAAATAATAATAATGCGTCTGATGTTAAGATGCAACAATCAGAACATGCAGAAATGATCAAATATTGTTTTTTGTTACTGAGGCCCATTTAAAAAAAACTCTATATGTATGTGTGTGTGTCTGTGTGTGTGTGTGTATGTGTGTGTGGTATTCACACCTGGCCAGTAAACCTAAGCTACAGCTAGCTCCTCCCATACACACACAGACACACACACACACGCACACACACATACACACACATACAAACACGCCCACACACACGCACACCCACACACACACATACATACACACACACACACACACGCATGCACACACACACACCTCCGCCCACTATTGCACCATAGATGGATAAACTACAGCTCAGGTTTTTAGGAACTTTTACTTCATACATTGTCCACATCTGCCAGTCTGTGTCTTCATCACTTTCCTGATGTTCATTCTACAATTCATAATTCTTCTTCTCTCTTTTTATTGACGGCGTTGATGACGTTTTCACCATGTTAAGGTCTGAACCAGACGACATGAACCTCTGAATGCGGCGAGATGAACCCTGTAAACGGTTGTTTCCACATTAACAGTAGAGTAACAGTAGAGAACCTTTTCTTCTATTTCTAACAACATCAATAACAGTTTGAGTGACGTCGACGTCATTCATCTCAGCAGGGACGGTGTTTTTTCCTGTTGCATTGTGGGAAATCAAACAGTGTTTCAAGTGTTTCTTTTTCTATAACTTTTTTAAAGAGAGTTTTGAATGAAAAAACTTGTGTGTGTGTCTCATCCATCACTGGTCCAGGTGCACCAGGAGTCAGCCAGGCTGTGTGTGTGTGTGTGTGTGTGCATCCATCTGTCAGATTGGAGTGTGAAACATCCTTTTGAAGTAAAAGAAAATTTACTGCTTTCATCCTCTGCCATGACACACACACACACACACATCCACACATACACTCACACACACATACACACACATACACACACACCCACACATACACTCACACACACATACACACACACATACACTCACACACATATTCACACACTCGTGGCTCGGCTGTCATCAGGTTAATCAGCTGTCTGTCAGTTTCTTCTTCTCTGACCTTCAGCGGAGGACGAACCCTCTCTGTCATCACCACATCTTTCTTCTTCGTTGGTTAATCCCTCCTGACTGTCTCTCTCTGTCTTCCTGTCTCTGTGTGTGTGTGTGTGTGTGTGTGTGTGTGAGTGAGTGTTGTCCTGTAATGTAAGCCTTCATTGCTGCTGCTCTCTGCATTTGAGGTTTTGCTGAAGTCTGGTTTTGATTGAGGCTACATGATGTCACGCTCACTGGGGAACCAACTACCATAATAGGCCTGTGTGTGTGTGTGTGTGTGTGAGAGAATAATAGCAACTCGGAAAAAGTCACTAAACTAATTTCTCTATAAACTTTTATAGAATAATTTCTAAAGCAGCTGAGATCAATCAAACTATTCATTCAGTTTTTACCAATTAAAACTCTTCTTCTTCTTCTTCTTCTTCTTCGGAACTTTCTGGGAAATTGCTGAAATATATGAACTCATAAAGAAGTGGAATATTTTCATGAGATTTATTTGTTGTTGTTGTTTTCTAAGAGAGGAAAGTGGGGAAGTGAACATGAGATGGGACCCTGCTGTTGACCTGCAGCCAAGTGGGACAGGAAACGGGGGGGGGGGGGGGGGG